GAATCATTGCCATATTGCATTATTACCTTAAGGTTTGAAGAGAACTCATCTGTGTTGCTTGAACTCAAGGCTCTCAGAAATAATATAAATGTCTTTTTATATTCTCTGACCTTACTTACCTTCTTTGCAGTAAAAGAACCTTACCAAGAAATGAGCTTTTATGAGGGTGAAATGAGATAATGCATGTGAAGTATGTAATGCAGTTAAAGCACCAGAGTCAGTAAGAACTCAGAATAAGCATTCAATAAATGATAGGTAGTAGCAGTAACAGTAGCAGTAGTAGTCATAGTGTTGTAGAGTTAACACATATTTTCCATAAAATAACAGAAGTAATACATGATAATTTTTATTATTATTAAGTCTTTCATACTATACATGATATTTTTAAGAAAACTTAAAATTACTGAATTCAATTGTTTCTAAAATGTGAAAATAAGACTCTAAGTTTACTGAAGGTACTTTTCCCTCTCGGAGTTTAAGTAAACTTAACATATAATGACTACTTTTCAGGGTTTTACAAGAACTGAACAAGATAATGCATGAGAAATATTTGATTGTTTATTAGTTGAAGTAGTACCTAAGATTTGCAGCAGCACGTGAATTATAACTTGTCTTTGTTGTTTCTAAAATTAAGGAAAATGATATAAATTTATTGACGTTAATCTCAGAAAGATTAAGTCATTCCATCTAATGATTTCTTGTATGTTTTTTGTCTGGATTGACTAAAATAATATAGAAAGTATGCAGCAATTATAAAATACTTGTCTAAGTGTGTGCAATATAAGAAAACCTGAGCAAAACGTATTTATTATTATTTTAGTTGTCATTAGTATATGATATTGTCAATCTTAGTTCATTTCTGCTTTTCCTCTTTGGCTAAATCAAGGATTTCAAAAATATCAAAGATTTCCTTTAAATTTGGTAAACTTACTTAATTTTTCTGATGTTAACTTCTTCAAATAACTGTACCTTTTAGAATTTCTATGAAAATGAATGAGACGATGCCTTTCCAATGTTTTGTTGCTAGTATCACTGTTATTTATATTTATCTGACATTGTAATACTACATGAATTACTATTGGTTGAATTAAAAATGCTAAGAAAGACTTTACACATTTGCTGAACTTAACTCTTCAGAGCTTAAATAACTTCATCCATTAACAAGGACAGCAGTTCTCAAACTCTTTTGTGTCAGGACCCCTTTATACTCTTCAAAATAATTGAGTTCCAGAAAGAGATTTTGTTTGTGTGGGTTATATCTATTATGGCATAAAAAATTAAAAAGAGAAAATGGTTAAAATATTTATTAATCCTTCTCTTTTAAATAGTTGTACAAGTCTATTTAATGTTAACATTAAAGTATGTTTATATGAAAATTATAATTTTGAAAAGTCAGAGAAAGCAGGCACCAATTTACAGTTTTGGAAATCTCTTTTAATGTCTTATTTGATAGAAATATAACTGGGTTCTCATATTTGTATTCACATTCAAACTGTTGTGATACATTGTTTTCTTCATAAAACACAGTTAGAAAGACAAAGAGAAAAGGGAAACTAGCAAGTTCTTTAAAAGAATCTCAGAAGCTCCCTCCCAAGGTCCTTGAACTATGCTTTGAGAACTGCTGATTCTTATACTTCTAATTTACTGACAGCCTGTGCAAGATATGTAATTATTAATTCTACTTCTATGGTTATTGTTTGTAATTTCCTGATATTGTCCAAAGAATGTGAACAACCTCATGTTCTGTTGACTGCATTCATGGCTTCTAGAAACAAAAGAAAACTATTGGTGGTACAGATTTGGTAAGGTGGTTAACCCACTTCACCAAATAATACCTGTCTAACAGAGATTTTAACCAAATTGAATGTCAGTAATGTGCATGGCTCGGTGACAGCCTCAATTAATGGCAGCTATTAGAATCGCCCTTTCCTCAATGTATACAAAATTATACAAATGGATTCTAGAGATAAAATTGGCTTCACATATCCAATAACAGCCTCAGTTCATCGACAATGACTCTGTTACCTTCTCTTGTCCTTTGATTAGGCCCACTTTTAGGCCCAAGAGTCCCTTAGAAAAGTGCATAAATCTTTATAAGAAACAAGCTAACACTACTTTAAAGCAGGGCTATGAGTAATGCCAACTGCCACTGATCTTTTAGACAGTGTATGAGGCCTTCCTCAGAGACTTCAAGTGTCTCTAGCAATACCTAGAAGATTGTGCAGCATTTCCTGGGGGAACTTGAATCTCCCCATCTAGGTAAATGTACCCCAGTTAGGATGCAACCAGAATGATGGAAGATTTCTCAGACTAAATCTGGGCCTCAGGCTGTAGTTCCCTCAGGCAGATCCTAGGGGTGGAGGACTGGAAATTGGAGGGGGTGCATCTCTCCTCCACCCTCTGTTTCTCTTGCTGTAGGAACCCGAGAAGGTATAGTAGTTTTCTACCAATATTTTGGTGGAAAATTATGAATGAGTGTTCCTATTCAGGGATCCAATCATTTTTACTCCAGAAGGAATCACTCTCAAAGTTAGCAGTGCTCACCAAATCTAGGAGACTTTATCTGAGATCTAATGGTGTTGTTATTGTCTGTTTCAGAAGGGACTTCCATGTCTTCCTTTCTTTTTTTTAATTAAAAGAAAGACTATCAAACTTTCTATAGTAGAGACTTTCAAAAATTACAAAAGCAGAATCATAAAATAGAGACCCAAGTACTCATCATCCAGCTCCAAGATTTATTAGTTTATGAAGTATCTTATTTAATTCATACTCCCATCCAATTCTCACTCCCAAATTATATTATTTTGAAATAACTTCAGATCTCATAATAGTTCATTTATAACTATTTCAGTATTCATATCAAAAGGTTAAGACTTATCTTTCCATATAACTGCATATCAACATCTCACTTAGAAATGAATGAGTAATAATTGATTAATATCATCGTATGACCCATCATACATTGTTCAAATTTCCAATTGTGTCATGAATGTTTTTTAAAATTTCTTTGTTTCCCTGAAGATCCTAAGAAAGTCCATATTTCATAATTACTTGGTAGGTCATTGAAGTCTTTCGTAATGTATAGATTATCCCTCTAACTTTTTCTCTTGTAATTTTTTTAAATAATCCCTTCTCTCTTTTTGTAATACCATATTACCTTTCTTAACTCTAGAAAACTTCCCAAAGCCTAAACCTTCACTAAAACATTTCATTAAGGGTAAGGAAATATTGACTTCTTTCAGGCAAGCGTGATCTGTACTCTTGCTACTGATTATCTTACATTTATGACTTTTTGAATAAAGATTCTAACAATACAATCTGGCAGCTTTCTTAGCTCCCTTTTTGTAAATCTGAAGAAATAGAACTTGTGTGGTTTTGCTGTACTCTATAATCCCAAATTCCTGTTGAAGTTCCCCCAAGCATTTTATCAAATCTGGTGAAAAATTACCTTCTCTCTTCCTCTTCAGAATGCAAAGGTCACTTTGCTAGAATCCAGCAATGAATTACTTGAGGAGATTTTCTGTTTGCAGTGTGTCCTGCTTTTCACAGACTTTCCTACTTTCGTGCCCAGGTTCAAAGTTGTAGGCAAACATGGACCCAAAGGAGTCCTGTCACATATGTTGCTGCTTCTCATCCTGTCACCTGGTCTCCTACTCTAGAAAAAGGCCAATAATTTTAGAAATTCAGTGTCTGAGGAAGAAGGATTACAGATCACTTTCCAAATTCTCTCTTCCTGGCATCTTCCCAGAGATTAAACAATCAACATCCTCAACAAGCCCTCACAAAGAAACATTGATCATATTTTTCCCTTTTGATCTTTCAGCCAAAGATCAGTCTCTATATCTGACTACAGATGTTGGTTTATCATAGTTCCTTGTGTGTTCCCTAGAGTCAACAATGATCTCTATGAACATACTTCTATCTCTTCTCATGGTTCATGATGTAGGCACCCACTAGCCAAGCATTCCTGATAATCTCTGAGAGAATCACACAAGTGCAGTCTCAATTTCCCAGACTTCAAATTCCTATAGATGCAAGAGAGGATAAATTAACATTAAAATTTGAATTTCCCTTTCAAGTTATCTCTGCTTATTGATGGAGGACCTCTTCCAGATCTACTATACTTATTTCTGAAAGTTTCTAGGATTCCTACTTATACTTGGACACAAGACCATCTTCTCTTCTCACCTTTTTGTGGTTTATTTTCTGCCTGTGAACATGTTTATTGAAGGAAGTGCTTCCCTGGAAGACTACCTCTCAATATTTTTAAAAACAGAAAAGCCCCAAATTCCACACAAATGGGAAGTCTGCATTTCTCCCAACTCTGCACTTCACTCTATCTTGACTTTGAAATGATATTTATTATGCCTAGAGACTCAAAAGCAATAAAATAACAATCCTTGCTAAAAAAAAGAACCCTTTCAATTTCTACTCACACCTAGTAGATATTTCTGCATAATGACCAGAATGAGCCTAGGCAACGCTGATAGGCTATTATAGGTGCTATACATATTAATTATTTTTGAATTTGGAAGGTGTTATGGCTTTATTAAAAGCCTTTTAAAAAAAAGGACTGATTGGCTTTATTAATGTCATTGAATACAGATGTGAATTCCTTGATTAACTCAACATATATGTATTGAGTGCCTTCTATGAAGCAGGACAGTTCTCAGAACTGAAAACACAACAAAATGGACCCAACTCACTCTTAGATACAACCAAGTCTCGAATAGTTTATTTCAATAATGGCAATTCCATGCCTTCTACAGAAATTTGCAGAGAAGGCATTCCTAACTTGAAAAAAAAAGCCCTCATTTTCTAACATCCTCCTGGTAGTCTTTCATGTGACTATCAATTAATTACTCTGTGAATAGCTCTCAACAAACATCAGGTCTAAATTTTCTTTGGTAAGAAGCACGACTGTGTGTCGCTGCTGCATAGATCTGTTCAATCCTTCCATCTGCTGGACCAACATCGTACCTTCTTTTTCATTTCTTTAGGTGTCTCAGTTCCTATCCCTGTGCTAGGACTGAGGAACGAAGACAAGGTGTTCGTGAACAACACGACGTGCGTGCTCAACGAGCCAAATTTCGTTCTCGTTGGGTCCTTCGTAGCATTCTTCATACCGCTGACGATTATGGTGATCACGTACTTCCTGACAATCTACGTTCTTCGCCGACAAGCTCTGATGTTACTACAAGGCCGCACCGAGGATCTTCCGGGACCTTTAAGTCTGGACTTTCTGAAATGCTGCAAGAGGAATTCCGCTGACGAAGAAAACTCTGCCAACCCCAATCAAGACCAGAACGCCGCGCGCGGAAGAAAGAAGAAGGAGAAACGTCCGAGGGGCACCATGCAGGCTATCAACAACGAAAGGAAAGCGTCGAAAGTCCTTGGCATTGTTTTCTTTGTGTTTCTGATAATGTGGTGTCCGTTTTTCATAACGAATATTCTGTCTGTTCTTTGTGAAAAATCTTGTAATCAAAAGCTTATGGAGAAATTGTTGAATGTGTTTGTGTGGATTGGTTACGTATGCTCCGGAATCAATCCTCTGGTGTATACGCTATTTAATAAAGTGTATCGCCGGGCTTTTTCTAACTATTTGCGCTGTAATTATAAAGCTAAGAAAAAGCCTCCTATCAGGCAAATTCCAAGAGTCGCTGCCACTGCTTTATCTGGGAGGGAGCTTAATGTTCATGTTTATCGGCATACCAATGAACCGGCGATTAAGAAAGTTGATGACAATGAGCCGGGTATAGAGATGCAAGTTGAAAATTTGGAGCTCCCAGTAAATCCCTCTAATGTGGTTAGCGAAAGAATAAGTAGCGTATAACACCAGGAAACAAACACATTCTTTTCCTACATAAAGCATATGTAGGAAAACTTTCTCCTTTCTTATGTCGGTCATAACAATGTAAATATTGCTGTCTGAAAGTGTATATGTATATAGCTTTGCAACTCTGTACTTTACAATCATGCACACAATAGTGAGATTTACGGTTCTATATTTACTGTTTATAATAGATGGAGAATAACTTATTTGTTTTGATTCTTTGATGAATGATATGTTTATTGTTTTGTCCGCCCTCCCCTCCTTCCTCTCTTCTCTTCTTTCCTTCCTTCCTATCTCTCTTTCTCTTGTGAGTATGGGAATGTTGATGCTCATCTCAGGTGGCATTTGCGGGAGACCAGAATGATGCACGTGACAGTGGTTAGATTTCAACCACACCGAAATTAACAAAATCAGTGGAATCCTTTGCCGGGTTAACAGTAAATATACACTTTAAATTCTTGCTCTGCTCACCTCCACACACAAATGCAGTAGGATACATTCTGCCTTCTGACATTTCTATCTGTGAGTGAATGCCAGAACTTAGCCCTGCTGTTACATATAGGGACAAAATTTGACATTGTCAGATGTTGTGTCGGTATTTTACTGCAATGTCTGTCCCCAAACATAGTGGCATTTTAACATAGCAGCTGGTTAACCAGGACTACAGAAGTGGAAGGATAATAAGAGATTTACACCAAATAGCTTTTCACTTCTTAGAGGCAATGTTCAAATTCTGATTATTATTACAAGCAAATTGGAATTAGTGTTTTCATTCTGGTCTTAGTAAATACCTAATTCCACAATTAGACTGGGAAATGAGATCCCGGAGTTATTTCCCAATCCAGGATTCAACATCAATTGGGCTTTGATCTCAAGATCCTGGAAATTCGTGTGCTACACACAAAGTGAAATTAGCATCTTGAGCCTTATTAAAATATTTTTCTTAATTATGGTACCTCTATCTATAGGACTTAATTTAGCAGTCCATTTTTAAGTAAAACTTGTATTGGAAGCATAGATGATAAAAAACCTTGGAAGTTTTACTTGATTAAGGACTACAGAATTAGGCCCTTAGAATGTGAAAAAAAAAGTAATTAAAAAGACACTTCTTCTGAACTCTGGGAACAACAGAAATACAGAGTTTCCATTTGGATTTTAAACAAAATTTATCTCCTTTTCAGATCCTTCCAAACTCTCTAGTGCAGGAAAAGGCTGCAACTAATTTGTCAACGTGGCAAGCTCTTCATTGTACGGCAATTATGTAACAGAAGTTTAAATCTTTGTTAAAATAGAGTGTTGTGTTACAACAAATGTTGGCCATCATTTCATTCGTGGGCCTGCTGCTCTCTAAAAATTCAGTACCCTTTTAATGGTTTGTAAACCATGAAAAGGTTTTCAAGCATTGCTAAAGTAAGACCATCCAGTCTATGCTGTGTGCAGAATATACAAGTCTTGTCAATGACTATTTCCATGTGTGCCCATTTCACACAACTGTGGATAAATTTCTGAAGAATTCATGATGCTATTTCTTATGTCTGACAGTTACTTACAAATCTTAGCGTGTACATCTCAGTATCTTGACATTGGTGAACGCAGAATCTGAATTTCTAAACACCCCTGATCTGTGTTCTCAACACACAGTATAGATAAATTCAATAGGCTGCCACAAGGGCAGTGAGAGAGCTACTGTATTTGAGGAAATTCCTACAGTCTCTATTTGATTCACAACACTGCCAAACATCACTCAATTGCTTGAGCATGCCCAAATATAACATGAAAGTAAAGTCTACCTGCCTGTTAGGTCTGCTGAACTGCACATTAACACACTTATATGAAATTGGATGAAAAATCTCATTCCTACTGAAACAAAAATGTCCGACGAACACAGCATGCATTTAGCATGAGTTCTGCACATACAGGTGGTGCCCTGCATGTATGCGCCATGTATGTTGCATGAGTCCATCAATTTGTATCAACATAGGACAGGGTAGCTGACATAAAAAGAACTGAAGAAAATCCTTCAGCAGTCCTTAAAAAGACCATGCATTCAGATCTGAAGAATTGTGAGTATTGGCGAAAACTGGAAACATCTGATTTCTTTTTTTTATCAGGGCAAGCTCATAGCACATGTTTTACAAAGAAATAAAATATAAACCACAGATTTCCAAAAGCACTAGCAATAAGTTGAATGGTAATAGCTTATAGCACATTTGTTAATAATTCTTATGTCATCAAGTAGTAGTACTTAATAGTACCCAACACAGCAATTATCCTCAACTTGTGTGCTATTCGTAAGTTCTGTGCAGTTTGGTATGAAATAAGCATATTCATTTGGATATGAATCTTACCATTCAATGTTAAATCTACAAACTTTTATAAATGTTTTAAAGAAGTCCATGTGATAAATGTAAGTGTGGTGAATTTATTGTCACACAAATCATTTTGATGTGCTATTATATATGTATATCTGTTTAAGACAGGTGCAACAGACTGCCTTATATTATTTCCTGTAATTCTTCTCCTTTGTCAAATGGTACTTTTTGTGAATGGTTGCAAAGTGTTGTCTTATTTCTGATTCCTGTATGTTACTTGCTCCAGGTTTTGTGATACTTTCTATTAATTTATTAAATTTATTAAACATTAACTATCATTTCATGTGTCTTTTTTACCCCCCTGAATCTTTTGACGGGAAAAGATATCACTTCACTTCGTTTTCTTTAAAGATTAAATTGACTCCTGGGAAATAAGTTGGCAAAGACAAACACAACCAGAAAAAATGACATTTTCTGACTAATTATGTATACGGTCAAAGACTACAACCACACACCCAAATTATCCTGCTTTCCTTACCTGAGTGGGGACTGGAGTGGCTTACCTGTTCTCCTTGCTATAGAGACCATTACTGTCTTTTATCCACCAGACTCTAAGTTCCCTAGGAACTTAGGGGCAAGAGAAAACTTACCCTTTTCCCCAAAAAGTGCGCTGAAAGATCAACTCACAATTAAAGCAGACTAATAAGAGAAATGTTTATTTTAAATACCATGTGCATGGGGAGAATCACAACAGTGATTATCCAATATCCTGATGATGGTCAGATATTTTTATACAGGCCTTTTAGAAAGGAGAGGGAGAATGTGGAGTGTAGGTATGCAACAAGTGGTTGCTGGGGTGGATGAATTGATGGGGAAAGCAGATAGACATGTAAATTAACACAAAAGCAGAGAGATATGTAAATTAACCCAAGAGATAGGCACTGTGTTTTAAATAAGTGGGCTAGATCTGGTAGCATTCTTGATTAATTCAGAGCATTCTTTATACCAAGGAGTCATATTTTGGGGTGAAATTTCCTTAGCTCCTTCAACAGAAAGGACCATGTCTATCTTGATGGTTTTATTCCCAACATTTGGTAGCCATTCTACATTAAACAGGTGTGAATTGAGTATTAATATTTGTAGGCATCATGTGACCCACCCCTGTTGTCAAAATGGGCCTCATAACTCCCCCTCTTCAGTCTCATATGACTTTGGATACCTCTGAAATCATCAGTGCCACCCTTAAAAGCAACTTCTTTTCTTCCGTACCTGGAGCCACAGATGACAAAATACATTGGCCCTTTCTTTCAACACATATGCTTTGCTAAAGCTCTTGGTTCCTAGGAGCAGATCAAGAGATAAAGGTTGAACTGCCACTTGAAACAATAAGATCATAGCTGTCTGTGGCCAGAAATATCTTATGCCACTGAAGCTAGGGACTACATATCCAAACACTGAGAAAATGGAGTGTCAACCCAAATAAATGACTGAGGCAAAAATTTCAATCAATGGAGGTTTACCAAGCCAGATTTTGAGGATGTGCCTGGGGACTATGTAGAATGCCATGGAAAATCTGTGGCTGTTTTTTGGAAGGAGAAGTCGGAACCTTCACCATTTTAAAGGCATACAATGATAATGAAAAAGGCAGACAGGAAGGGGGCTGCTGAGGTAGTGGTTACATTCTTGTGAGGCCCAAGAAATCTACATTTTACAATAAGGGAGTGAAGGAAGCATTAATTATGTAGATGCCTCTGGATAGGTAGAAGAATGTCTGATTCTATCTTATCTCCAGTTCTAACTTTAGATAAACATAATTTACCATTAGTATGGAATCAGATAATCTTTCATTTTAGGTGCTACACATAGGTACAATTTGCATGTCCTTGCTTATGGGAGGTTAGCAAGGAATTTCCTTCTTTGGGGCTGGCTAGCTCTTCACAGGTGCATAAGGCTGAGATTTTTTTTTTTTTTTACCAAAAAGTGGCTAAAATTTCTTGATGGCCCAGCACTGAAGTCACTATGTGAGTGTAAGGGAAGATGGGCAAAAGATCACTGAAACTCCTCAATCCATAACACTGGAAGGTCTTCATGGCCTGAGGAAAGGAAGAAAGATCCAATAGGTTTCTTGTAGTCACACAATTTCCCAGTGCCCACTTAGGCTTGTGCAATTCCAATGTTGAAAACCATTTCTCCTTGCATAATCTCCCTATATATGTGCTAACATATCACGTCTAGAGCTGATTATATTAGAAAGAGTTATTTTGATCACCAACAGGCATAAGTAGCATCACAGTGGCTCTCAAATATTATGTGACCTATTGCACATTTAAAACATAAATAGCTCTAAGACATAAATTTTGTTGTAAATTCTGAGATGGAGATTAGTGTGCAGGATTTTATTGGAAAAAGGTTTTGGGACCCATATGTTGTGAGGGTCTAACGCAGCAACACATGAACCCTTTCCCCTCCTCCTCTGCCTCCTCTCCTCCTAAGACAGACACAAAAGATCTGGCTAGATCCACTCATAAGAAGTTCTCACCAAAGACCCTAACACCCTCCCAGATGTGGAATTTGCCTACCCCCTACAGCCCCATAAAAGGGGTCTCTAACTGTCCCTGGACACAGATGCCATTTTAGCATTGCCCAGGAAGGTCACTGTCTCTTTCAATAAAGCTGACCTAAACTTTT